GTGTGGCAGAACGCCAGTATGCTTGATTATCTTGCCACCTTTCACCTTCTTCAGCCACGTTCTAAACACAACAACACCAACAACAACAACAACAACAACAACCTCAACAATAAACACATACACACACAACAACACTAACAACAACACCAACAACACCACCAGTAATAACCACATCAGCAACAACAACACACACACACAGCCAACAACAACAGCAACAACAACAGCAACAACACCAGCACCACCAACAACACCATCAACACCACCAACAACAGCACCAGCAATAACAACACCATCAGCAACAACAACAACACCACCACCCCCAACAACAACAACAACAACACTAGCATCAACAATAGTAACAGACAACATACCAAAACGAATAGCAACAACAACAACAACAACCTCAACAGCAGCACCACCACCAACAACAACAGCAACAATAACAACACCACCAACGACAACAGCACAAACACACACACAAACAAAAACACCACAAGCAAACAAAAACAACAACAGCATCAACAACAGCAGCATCAACACCAAAACCACCTTCAACAGCACCACCAATCTTAAGACTGTTCGCTTCTATTTGCTCACGGTATCCCAAACCCTTCGGTACCCGCCCTCGTTGTCTTCGATCGTGGCCCCTTGAGGGCATATCTTCCTTACCTGCCACGTGCATCTAGTGCAGCCTCTAAAAGAAGGGAAGAGAAGACGGGTGGAAGGGGGAAGGAGAAGATTGGAGCATGAGAGAAATTTGCAAGAGGGGGGCAAAGAGCAGCAAACAAATGGTATAACCAGACGGGCAGATCGGGTGGGCAGACCCACAGCGAGCAGTTCGGGAAGGCGGGCCCAGGCGACCAGGTCGAGCAGGCGGGTTGCTGAAGCAAGGGTCCTGCATTCATCGCGAGGAAGTCTCGAGCGATAGCGCGATTCCCAAGTAAGCCGTGAGAGAAGCCAAAGCTAGAGCGTGATTCTTGAGCGCCGAGGGCGCATCGTCTGAATAATTTGCGGGGAAGTCCCACGCGAGAGCACGATTCGTATACAAATTGTGAGGAAGTCCCGCGCGAGAGCGCGATCTGCGAATACATTGTGAGGAAGTATCAGGTGGGAGCCGTTGCTTCTTTTAACCAGGGTTGCTTCCCCTGATAAAAAAACCAGGGTGCGAGCCCCGGAGGGGGGCACTCCAATTGAAACATACAATGGTCATTGGAGGGGGGATCAACAATACTTATTCTTCAGTAGTGAGAGTTCAACAACGACAACGACAACGACAACGACGACAACACCACCAGCAACAACAACAAAAACAACACCAACAACACCAACCACAACAACGACAACGACAACAACGACAACACCGACGACAACAACAGCAACAACAACAGCAACACCAACACTAACAGCAACACCAACAACAACGACTACAACCATACTTCCTTAAACCCAACCGTGTGTCTTGATCCACCTTCTCGAAACCACATTCTGAAACGCGGCCGTATACCTGACGATGTGTGGCAGATGGCGATGCGCGCAGCCTCACCGATCCCGGTTTTGGGCTTCGCCCTTCCAGAACCGTGAATATTGTCGCAAATCGTCCCCCCAGCGGAACGAGCATGTCTGGTGCTTGAAGAGGGCACCACCTCCATCGGAGGGGCAAGGACCGACACCAGCACCGCCAGAAAGGCCACCCCTGGGCCCCAGGAGATCTGCGGTGCCCCTCGAGCTGGAGGTTGGAGATGCCTCGAGCGGGACGCGCAAGACAGCGACACCACAACACCACTTGCATTGCAACTTCGGAGGTCACCGTCTGCACTGACAATGTCACTCCTTTTCTGGTGTCCGACGTATGTCCCAGGGGTATCGGGCACGGATTCGACGTGGATTCGACGCGGATTCGACGTGGGTTCTACGTGGATCCAGCGTGGATTCGACGCGGAGAGCACCGCGATGATATAGAAAGGATCGTCCAACGGTGCAACGGAACAGCCGGGGGAATCCCTGCTGCTTTTTGTGATGGTGGTGTCGGTGCCGACCTCTGTTGCTGCTATGGGGGCTCTCAAAGTGTTTCGCCCTTTGGTGGGGCCTCCTCCGGCGCCGTCGTCGCCAGGGCTAAGCACACTTGGAACTCCGCATCAGGACGCGCCCCAGGACATGCCTGGGGCGTCGCGCTTTTGAAAGAGAGGTACAGCAAAAACACCACCACGGCCCGTTCTTCCTCAGTCTCGGCGGCGAGCGAGGGCGTGAAGTGAGAAGGAAAAGGCCTTCCCAGAAGGCGGCAGGAGTTCTCAGAAGCCCTCGCGGCTTCTGAGCTGAGAATTTTTCTGTGCCTTCGGCGAAGGCTCAGAAAACTTATCAGAAGGCTGGGGGACTTCCGAGCCTTCTGAGATGACCCGCCCCTTCTCACTTCCCCCTTCGCTCGCCGCCGACAGGAAGGTTGATCTTGAGGCTTGAGGGTTGAGGCGCTGTGGTGTACACCAGCGCTGTAGTGTACGCAGGCAATGTGGTGCACACAGGCGCTGCGGCGCTGCGTTGCACACGGCTGCTGTGCTGTACATAGGCGCTGTGTTGTACACAGGCGCTGTGGTGCACGCGAGCACTGTGGCACTGTGGTGCAGATCACACCCTACGTGCTGCTCCTACTTGGCCTCGGTCATTCCGAAGAACTCCCGGACTCCGCCGGCGCCGAATGTGACGTCACACCGGGGGGGGGAGGGCGGGGCCCAGTGACGGCCGCTATCGCGGAGTTTCTTTCTCCCTGGGACAGTGAGAAAAAGGCCTGCGTGGTGCCTGGGGCGGGGCCAGGGCGATCCTCTCCAGAGCGTGTCGGGACGCTCTCCGAGCGTTCCGGAACGCCCTTGGGAGGCCGCTGCGCCCGAGACATCCTGCAGAGCCGCGGGATCTCAGAGCATCCTTTGTTATCCTGGCGTTGCAATTTTTTCACGTCGGGCGTTTTCGCCTGGTTTCGGTCCCTGGGGCCATCACAGATCGATCCGGCTCGAAACATGCCGCACAAAGTTGGGGTCCGTGTCTCCGGTGGTGACTTTTTGCGATGCTGCATGCTTTTTCGCAACGTCGGATCTCAGGGTCTCCTCACCCGATTTTACCCTCGTCTAGGCTCCGTCTGAGTGGTGGAAAATCATCCAGGCGTGCCGACGCGGGTTTCCCTGCACAGCCTTTGCGTGGTGCTCCCGTCGCCCGGGGCGAAGCATCGGTGGCCCACGTCGTGGGCCCCCCCCATCGTGGGCAGCTCGTCTGTGAGGGCTGCTCTGCTTGATGCCTGCAGCGCCCAGTCGGTCCAGGGTCGAAGCATCGGTGGCCCATCGTGGCCCCTCATAGTGGGCAGCTCGTCTGTGAGGGTTGTTCTGTATGGTGCCTGCAACGCCCGGTCAACCCGGGCACCCCGAAACCGGTGGTTCGTCGTGGCCCCCCATCGTGGGCAGCTCGTCTGCGAGGGTTGTTATGTCTGTCGCCGCGCCGTTTGTTCCGACGCGCGGCCCTGCGTCTTGGGGAGGGCGCCGCGGGCACCAGGGCAACATCCGCCTCGGGCGCGGCAGGCTAGCCGTGGGACTTGCCGCGGTGCTGGTTTCGTCTGCTGGGACGCGGACAGACCAGGGTTTGCAGTACAGTCGGGGCCCTGAAGAAGGAACCGTTTTCGTTGGGGAGGGGCCCCGTGTTCCTTAATTGTTTCACAGTTTGCCCCACGCTTTCCTTAGGTTTTCGAAGGGAAATCGAAGTCCAACTTCTGGAGAAAAGGAGCCTCGTTCCTTATTTAGGGTTCCTTAGGTCAGCGCCCCGACTGTAGGTTAGCCGTGGTGTCGGCGTCGTCGACTTGGGCACGTCGAGAGCAGCCGGCGCGGCGACAGGTGATGCTTGGAGCGCCCCGTCGGCCTGGGCCCCTGAGATCGGCGGCCCACCGTGGCCCACCACCGTGGTCCCCGTCGTGGCTGCCTAGAGGTAAGTCGGGCCTGTCCCTCTACAAGAGGAGTAATCAAAGTCAAGAAGCCATACGCCCGTTGGCGTGTGGGCGAGACAACGCATTACACTGTACTGCTCCTGGTGGGCCTTGCCTCCGGCAGGGCGCGCGGGCAGAAGAATGCGAAAGTTGGTGCCGCGACGGACGCTAGAGAGCAAACCGCATCACGACTGTGACGCGGAAAATAACGGAGCGACCCTCGGAATAATCAAAGATAGTCCAAACACAGTGCGGGGACGATGTGTTTTAGTTTTTCTTGAACATGTTTGGAATCTGTTCTGGCTCGCTGTGTTGTTCCTCCAAAAATTCGCATGTAGGAGGACATGCCCGACCTAAGCGTTCGGTGTCTTCTGCCGCATCAGTGGCATTTCAGAGCAGGTTCCCCGAGCTCCCGGCCCCAGGCCGGCATTTCACCCTGAGACCTCCCTTGAAGGCCTTGAAGGCCCCACGAACGGCCCCTGACCGAAATCGGAAGAGATTCCGCGTCGAGTGTGTCTCAAGACGGGGGGAGGCTGGCAAGTCCCAGGGGCCCACGTGGTGAAGAAACCAGCCAGGGGAGTTCGGATGGGGAGTCGCGGCTGCAGTATCCACGTGCGCCGATCCCAGCCGATACGCTCTCAGGCCCACGATCCACGATCTGTGCAGTGCATGCCTTGCCTGCCACGCCAGGAGGTGACACGGCCGTGTCCTACCACCCGTGTTTGAGAGTTTGGGGGGGCCAGGTTTCGGGCCCTGGGGCAGCTCATGGGGCCATTGACAAAAACTGTCGAACACGGGAAGCCAGCCCGGGGGAAGGCTCCAGTTCCCCACCACGGGTCACGTCTCGAAAGCCCGATGACGCGCAACCAGGTCATATGGTCACGCGCGAAGCTGTTGCGCGTAACCGAGACGCGAAGACCATGGTTGCGATCGGCCCCTCTTCACACCTGAGCTATCAGAATGCATGGAACACCCCCGCACCCCACCACGGGCCGCTTCCCTGACAAGCTCCGGCCGCCGACTGTCCGGAGCGGGCGCCCTCGCAGGACGGGACCGCCCTCTGGGAGTTCCGGCCCGCGTCGCCGGTCTGGAACATGGTGCCGCAGTACGGCAAGGACGGCGACACCGTCATGTTCAGCGACTTCGAAGGTACCGCGTACTGCCTGGACATCCAGACCGGAGCGCTGCAGTGGCAACACGACGGCGCCATGGGCACCTACACCCAGTCCTTCGCCCTGTACCTCGCCGCGGCCGACCTGCTGTACACGATGGGTCTGAAGAACGAGGGGTCGTGCTCTCAGATGTTTTCAAAAGCGTTAGAGACGTTTTTGGTTCCCCTTCGTTTTCCACCGTTCGCGCTTGACTCGACCAACACGTGTTAAGAACGGCACCGCAGACATAAAGAGGGTGTCTGACGGGCGGCATTGTGCTTAGCGATATCCACACGCGTATTCGAAGCGCAGCGAAAATATAATGAAAGCAGACAGGTAGGCCACGGGCCGATCTTCAGAACGTAGTAGAAACGGCGCCAGAATGTCGTAAACAATCTGTTGATGTTCAGAACGGACAAGGCGCCTTCCGCGTTTGTCTACGCCTCCCAGATGGAGTTCGAGCAGATGGGGTCGGAGGATCGCGCCGCATCGCAGAGGCATCAGACATGCGGCTCGATGTGGAGCCAAAGTTTCTCCAAGCCGACGTTGCCGATGCATCGCCGACGTCGGCGATGCATCGTCCATGCATCGTCGATGCACCCAGAATGCGGCGCGATCCTCCGACCCCCACGCACTCGTATGCCATCTAGGAGGCCTCCGCTTTTATTCGAACATCTAAGGTCATACTCCTACGAGCACAAGAACTGCAACCCGTTTCCTGCACCTGGCATACTGCCCGCGTGCGGAACTTGGCCGGGCTCCCCCGGCTGGGCCAAGGCGCTCAATGCGAGCTCCGGCAGGACACGGGTGTGCCCAAGAGGTGCCGTGAGGGCCAGCGGTCGGCGGTCCCCGATCAACAATTCAGCCTGGTCGATGGGCGGCAGGGGTAAGTAGGGTTCGGAATTCGGCGAACGCGTGGCGAAGTCCGAACCCTATCCCCGCCTCCCATCGATTCAGGAGAACCGATGGTTGGTGGGGGTGCAGCCGGCCCTGATTGGCAGGTCGACCATGCCAAGTCGAGAGTACCCTTGTGTCCTGCCGTCTATCCGCACCTATGCAAGCCGCATGGCCTTTTTGTGTTCTAGGACCACGTTGCCGTCGGAAGAGTCTTGTATCCTCTCGGGTGTCCTGTCCAATCAAGTCCGACTGTAGGGTCGACCCGCATGGTAAGGATGGGCCACCTTCCCCAGGGTACCCTTGCATCCTTCCCTCTTCGGCCCATCCTTGGCCACTTGCGTTGGCCGCGCCCCGCTCGAAAAGCTTCGAAATGGGCGTCCGAGGCCCTTGCATCCGTGTTGTGCATCCTTCTGATACGGGTTGACTTTTGGGTTTCGGATGTCGTTCGCCACCCAGGGGGGCGTCGCCATGAGGCACTGCGGCGCTCGAGGGCAGCGAGCCCTGGGGGGGGGGGAGGGTTCGCCGTTTTGTCGGGCAGCAGGCGCCCTTATACCAAAAAAAGCCCAGGGGCCGTCAGAGGAGCACTCGGAAGGGCCCCGGGGTCAACGGCACCGTAACGGGTACCTACTAACGGGTGCTTTGATTTTTTGCCGAACGTTGCCACTTTAGGGCCTTTTTCTTGCATTGCAGCGTTGCCCACATCGGGAAGGGTTGGGTTCGCTGGGTCACTGGCCAAAGTACCCGTTAGTGGAGTCCCCGTGTGAGGGGCGCTGACGGGGGTCCCAGGGGCCCGCGTCCCTCCCGCGTGCTGCAGGGTGCGGGTGCGCAGCATGGCGGGGCCATGGGCGCTCCCGGGTCTCATGGCCTCCCTCCCCTGCCGTGTTCCCTGCAGGGCTCGGGCTGGGCGGCGTGGCGGCGTGGAGCGGTTTCGTGTTGGTGTCGGTTCGCGGCAGAGGCAGAAAGCAGACAGAGTGAAGTCGGGCCCGTCCCTCTACAGGGGGAATATCCAAAAACAGTAGAAACTTAGTCTGGGGACGATTGTTTTTTATATATTGTTTGAGCATTTGGGCAGTTTTTCACTATTTTTATTTGTTTCCAAAATCCGCCTGTAGGGGGAACAGGCCCGACTTAAAGATAGAGCGAAGGACAGCGAAAACGAAACGAGAGCGAAAAACACTGCCGCGGCCGCGGACCCAGGAAGGCATGGTGCGACGACCCACGCCCTGGGATTAAGTCGGGCGTGTCCCTCTACAGAGAAATATTCCAAATTAGTTAAAAAAATAGTCTGGGGACGATTTCTCGACTACTTTGACAACTTTGGTGCATTTTTTCTTATTTTCAAGTTTTCATCCCAAACCCCCCTGTAGAGGACACGCCCGACCTAGCCCGAGGATGCAACTCCCGGGAGTTTCGGTTCAGGATTGGCACCGGTATGCTCCTGGCTGACCCCTGCCCGAATCCTGCTCAATCCCGCTCAACCCCGCTCCATCTGGCTGGATCCCAGGCTCCGCCTGGCCTCGTGCAGCTCCATGGCCTCCGCTTCGGACTCGATGGCCCTCCACCGTTCTGCCGAGGGCCTCCCAGGAGTGGCCTCTCAACTCGTGGGCCCGTGTCCGCGGCCTCGCAGGCCGGGGGCACTGGGCCGCGACCCGCGGGTGTACGGGACGCTGCTCTCCCGGGTGCGCCGCGCGGAACGTGGCCGTGCGGCCGCGCATCCGCGGGATCGCGCCCCGGAATGCAGGCCGCCGGGGCGCGGATGCGGATGCGTTCGCCGCTCGCGGCGGATCCCCTCCTCGCTGGGCCCCCGCAGGACGCAGTGGGAGCTGGACCTGGCGGAGCCGCCCGCGGCGGCCGGCCTCGGCGAGATGCACCAGGGGGCCAGCAGAGGTGCTCGGCATGTGGGGAGCGGGTCCTGAGGGAAGCGGGTCCTGGGCTTGTTTTCCGCCGTTTTCGGGCGGGCTCTCGGGGCCCTCCACGGGCCCCAGGGCTGTGAGAAGACAAGAAGACAAGTCCAGGTGGAACGCTCGGCCTGGGCCTCGGGAGGAGGCACCAGGGTCCAGGATCCGTTTCCCTCAGGACCCGCCTCCCCCCCCCCCTCTGGAGAAGTGCCCGGCTGATCGGCCAGTCGTGCCCTCTCGATCTCTCGAGCAGTCGCTGGGAGGAGGAGGAGGAGGAGGAGGAGAAGAAGAAGAAAGAGGAGGAGGAGGAGGAGGAGGAGGAGGAGGAGGAGGAGGTGGGCGAAACGACAAACCCATCTGATCGACCAGTCGTCCCTCTCGACATCTTGGCCAGTCGTTGGGAAAAGGAGGAGGAGGGGGGCAGAATACCCTGACATGGTCGCCTCGTGAACAAAAAACACGTCGAGAGGTTTTCTGCCCGTTTTCAGCCTCCGGGGGCCCTCGCTGGGCCCCGGGATTGTAAACAAACATTGGGGGTGACACAACCAGCCTGAGGGAAAGGGTTGGGACTTCCGGAGACGCCGTGCTGGACAACAACAAGTCATCGCATGTCTGGGGGGGAGGAGGACGAGAACGACGAAGGCATCGTGGCATCACCGCTCGACACTGCCCGCAACCTCAGATCTAGGAGAGGAGGACGCTCAAAGATCGAGGAGTAAGGAGGAGGACCAGTGCAAACCCAAGACGCATCCACGATGATGTGATACAACTTCCCTCCAAGTTCCCGCTTCAAATGTCCGTACAAAAAGGTATTCATTGCGGAAGTGCCTTATTTAATGACAATCGTTCGCCCGAGAACACAAAGCACCATTCTTGGGACTTGAACGCCGCGACTCAACATGACTGATGCGTCCTGACAACCCTGAATCGCGCCAGAATGCCGTTCCCAGGACATCAATACCGCGAATCAGCGCGTGACTGTAGCGTAGTACCAATCCTAAAGCGTGTCAGCACGCCATTCCTGGAATTTGAGCCATCCGAATCCTGCAATCATCTGATGTAAACGTGTAAAACTACTTCGCGTTTGGATAAGGCAAGAGACACATGTTGAAGAGGAATCGCCCTCCATCCTTGAAGCAATTGCGGCGCTGAGGCGAGAACCACAGTTTGAACACTAACCACTAACCGGCCTCCAACATTGAAGTTGTTGCAAGGTTTAAGACGATTGCGCCCGGCGCAAAGGCGAGAGCCACATTTTGAAGCCACCCAGGCTTCATCCTTGAAGCTGTTGCAAACTCTTAAGACGAGGGTGCGCGGCGTTGAGGCGAGAGTCGCACTTTGAAAGCCACCCCCCGGGCTCCATCATTGAGATTGTTGCCTAGATGAAGTTTTGCGATCATAAGTGGTGCAGAAGTCTCAGGCGAAACTCCCTGGCCACCCTACCGGCGGGTCTGGGGGCAGCGGAGGGTGTTAGCCAGCGTGGGCCCCACACAGATTGTTTCCAGTAGTGTTGTAGGCTGTGCCATCTAGGTGGTGGAATCAACGTTGCGCAGCAGCGCTGTGCAATTTATGTTGTGCAAACCATGTTGTGCCATATACGTTGTGCAGTTTTTGTGGCGCAATCTATGTGGTGCAGACCATCTGGTGCAGTATGTGTGTCGTCAACCGATGTTGTGAATCCGACTGTGTGCACTCTATGTGGTGCCACCTGTGTTGTCCGCAGTCTATGTGGTGCAACCGACATGGTTCAATCTATGTGGTGCAGTCCATATGGTCCAATAGTATGCGGTGCAACCAATGCGATGCATTCGACGTGATGCTAACTACGTGGTGCAATCTATGTTGTGCGATCTTTATTGTAAATGCTTTGTGCAACTTATATACATGTTGCAGTTTACCATGTGGTGCAGTCGCCGTGGTGCAAGCAGTGTGGTGCAATCACTGTTGTACAATCTACGTGGTACATTATATGCGCTCCAATCGGCGTGGTACAATTTATGTGGCTCAGCTCATTTGTTGAATTTGCAATTGTCAACTGCACTTCTCGCGCAATCGTCCCACCCACCCGTCCGCAATTTGTCCTGCAAAACACATGCGGCGGCGATTGCGATGAGTGCTTGGCGTTAGCTGGTGCAACTTTGTGGCCTCGCTAGCCCCCGCATGCTCGCGCGCGCGACGGCCAGCTAGTTTGGCGCGACCGGCGTGGCCGCGGTGGCGCTGATCTCTGAGCACTTCCCAGCGGGCACTTCAGTGCGAGTCGGCCATTTGGGCGGGCGCGGTATCATGGCAACGTCGACAACGGTAGACACGATCATGATAGTAGCGACGTTGGTGACAATGATGATGACAACAGCGACTGCACGGCCAGTGACGGCGCTGATGCTGATCACGCCGACGGCAACAACGGCGTTTTCGCGTCGGTGATGAAGGTTCCGGAAGGAGTTCGGTATGCGTGCGGCCGACGCGCGAGAGCTGCCCGCATGATATTACTTGGCACGGATCGTGTCCCTTCAGCACGTGCGCAAGGGCGTTCGGATGATATCGACATGCGGCGCGAAATGCCCGCTTGGAAGAAATCGCACGTTGAAAATATTGTGTTTTTTTTCGAGAATTTGCCAGAGCGCGAGCGCATTATTTTGGTGGAGGAACAGATGTTAGAGAACTAGACGTTTGCTTTATATGTTCGGGGGACTTCGGATTGGAAAGCCTTACGACACCAAGAGTTTTTGAAGGATTTCGGCAGACGCGCGCGACGATGCGCGCGTGAACACTTCGCCACGTATTTTGCAATGGGGTTCGTGCGACAGCACGTGCGCACAGGCGATCGAACGATTTCGACATGCGCGCGCGAGAGGCCCATTTTGTGGCTTGTAATGAAAAATGCTGCGAAGCCTAATTATGGTTTCCTTGAACAGCCGCGAAAGCTCGAAGGCACGTTTTTGGCAAGTTTGAATGCGATACCACTTGTGCTATCTATTTTCGGGACGCTTCATTTTGAAATACTCACGATGCCCTGGGTTTTTGAATGATTTCGGCATGCGCGCGACGACGCGCGCGTGTGCATTCAAGGGATTCTTGGGATTGTAAAATTATTGGCAACGAGTGCTCGCGCATAGACGGATAATAAACTATCCTACCGGCTTCGCTGTTATGAATTCATAAGTTCATATGTAAGATTGACTACTGGGCACAATCATATGCAAACCACAATACGAAAAGAAAGGCTGGCGGGTGGGGTAGATGGTATTTGTTAAGAGAAAAAAAGAGAGACAATCTGTGGTGTAATCCAACATGTGCAGTTTTTGCGGTGCAATCGATGTTGTACGATCTAGGCGACGACGGCGACGGGGCGGTGACGGGGTGGCGACGAGGCGGCGTCCGTGACCACGGAGCCGCCACACCGCCACCCAGGTCCAGACGACGGGCGGCGACGGGGCGGCGACGGCGAGCACGGAGCCGCCAAGCTGCCACCCAGGCCCAGTTCTTCAGAACAGATTTATGACCCCTTACGTGCAAAGGCTGTTAGGGGAATGAGGAGGAAGAGGAGGAGGAGGAGGAGAAGGAGGAGGAGGAAAAGGAGGAGGAAGAGGAGGAGGAGGAGGAGGAGGAGGAGGAGGATTTGATCGTCGATTCGCAACTTTCGCTCACGTTTGTGGCTCGTCTGTCCGCGGTTCGTCCCCTCAGGTTTCAGCGGTGACCACGCTTTTGGGACTTCGCTGGTGCTCCGCGAACGTCTCGGTCGGCGGCGAACTCCGAACCCTACCCTCGCTGATCATCGATTCAGGCAACTCGGGGGGCTGCGGCGCAGGGTTCGGAATTCGTCGGGCACGTGGCGGAATCCGAACCCCACCCCCCCTCCCATCGATTCAGGACAAGTGATGGTTGGTGGGGGTTCGTCACCACCCACCAAGCCACCCCAACCCAACCCGAAGGCCTCGATTTGCCATCCATTTCCAGTGGGGGGGGGGTCGGGGAATATCAGGAAAAACACATACGGAGCCCACACACACACCCCCAACCCGACATTCGGGTCTTCGGGTTGGATTGGGGCGGTCTGGTGGGATGTCAGTTCGGTTCAGATGTCGCCAAGGAGACTCAGCTTTCATCGGTGGTCGCACGGTCTTGGGACTTCGGCCGTTCTCCCCGGGGGCGCCCGGGGCGACACTGGGGCCTCCAGGGTCCCACAACCGGTGCGGCGACGGACCGTGCGGTGAGGTCTTTAAGTACTTCCGAGGTCGCCCCACAGTCCGCCACCACCGCACCGCTCTGGCGACCCACTCGGTATGGCTCGGACGTGCTTCTCTTTTCTCGGCGAGGGCTTTCGAGGAGCATCATCTGGGATCCAGTTGCGAAAAAAATGGACGCGCGAAGGCGAAAGATGGAACAATGCACGCGGAATAGACGTCCGAGCAGTAGCAAGAGGAGCCGGCGGCGAGCGAGGGGGGGGAAGGGAGCAGGAGAAGGCCTGCTACGGCGGCGAGACTACTCAGAAACCCTCGCGCCTTCCGAGAAGTGTTCTGCGTGCTCGAGGAAGGCTTGGAAAACCTCTCAGAATGCTGGGGGCCTCCCGAGCCTTCCGAGGAGGCCTCCTCCTTCTCACTTCCCCGCCTCGCTCGCCCCCGAGAGAGGCACCCGGCTCATCATCGCCACCGGCCACAACTGCATGTACGGCTCCAAGTCCCGCATCTACGCCGTCGACCCCACCGTGGGCAACACCTACTGGGAGAAGGCCCCGGGGTGCCGCGCCGACCGGAGCAGAGCGGCTCAGGGGTGGGGGACCAGGTGTCCGACGCCGCGCGCTTCGGTCTGCAGGGGGCTGGCTTCGCATCCGGGGTCGTTCTTGGATCGGGGGCGACATGGGGAGGGGGATGATGACAAATCTGTAAAAAGTTGTTAGTTTTAGACCCCCACTTCCTCTCGGCGGTGAATGGGACTGGTCCTAGAGCCTCTCTCGGCGCGCGCGGCGACATGGGATTAATTTCCCTCTATTGCTGGGCGGGCTGGATACTGTTCGAGGGGCTTCTAAAGATTTTTAAAAGTTAGGGGGGGGGATATCATGGCGGGGGCCATGTTATCTCCCCAGATGTCATGGCTCCTCTTCTCATTTCAATGCGTCCCTGGCCCCCCACTGGGCCGCGCACGTGCCGCCGGCCATGAGTTGCGACCCCCCCTCGCGGTCGCCCCCTCGTGGGCGCTCCTGATTTGACGGTCTCGAGACGCGCTGAAGGCCCCCAGAGGCTGCAAACGGCCTAAGTTTGTCCGTGTTCTTTTTTGTTCCTTGCTCCGCGACGCAGGGCGGTCTCGGAACGACGCCCACAAATCGCCCACCCGCAGAGGAGGAAGAGGTACCCATACCTCTACCCTTCGCCCCTTGTTCCCCTTTTTCGGCCTCCTTGAAGGCCCTCGTCGCCACCGCTGGATTCGCTTCGAGATTCTGGTCAGAACGCACCCCAGGAGAGGTCCGGGGAATAGCGGTATCGGCACCTTGAGGTTTCCCCACATCCGTCGCCGATCCTTCCAGGGAGCGCCATGTCCTGCCAGCGGGGGGGATTATTGCCGATGCATCGGCGACGTCCCTGGTCACCCCGCCCAGGCATACCCCGACGTTTCGTCGATTCGGGGCCGAGGTTCCCTCCCCCCCGAGGCAGCCCCCCGAGGTAACCCCTCCCCCCCCCCGCGGGCCCTCCTCGCAAGGATGGGCCGACACTTTGGACCAACCAGTGCGCGGGCGACTTCGAGGGCGCGGACATCCGGAGGGCCATGGGCGGCCGCGCGTCGTGCCACCCGAGCTCGTGGTCGATGCCGGCGATGGACACGAACGGCGACCTCTACGTCGGGAGCCAGGTTGGCGAGCTGCAGAGGCGGCCCGGGTGGCCATCAAGGGGCGCAAGCGGCACAAGCTCGCGGGACGCCTTCGGACCGCAGATGCCCGCCAGCGCGAGACCCCTTCCCTGTACAGCCCGCACGCTTCGCGCATCCGGGGGAGGTGTGTGTGTGTGCTTTTGTATGTTTGTGTCAGAGGAGGGCGAGTAGAGGCAACGGTTGTTGACCTCTAGAGGGCTTCCTCGTCGTCACGGCTGGACACAGACAGGAAAATTAGTGCGTCCGGACCCGAGGAGGGGTACGGGGACAGGTTTTGAGCTGCTGAGATGTCTCAATTCGCCCTGCTCCGAGCGCGTGTGTGTGCGTGTGTGTGTGTGTGTGTGTGTGTGTGTGTGTGTGTGTGTGTGTGTGTGTGTGTGTGTGTGTGTGTGTGTGTGTGTGTGTGTGTGTGTGTGCGTGCGTGCGTGCGTGCGTGCGTGCGTGCGTGCGTGCGTGCGTGCGTGCGTGCGTGCGTGCGTGCGTGCGTGCGTGCGTGCGTGCCTGTGTGTTTGTGTGTTGGCGGCTGCGAGGCCCTAAGTGGTCTCTGAGTGCTCGGGCGGGCTTAGTCGCGCGCACGCTTCGCTGTTTTACGACCTTTACGCCCTGTCGCCTCGAGCAGGGCCGCGACGCAAAAGAGAGTGTGTGTGTGTGTGTGAATGTATGAATGTTTTCGTGGGTGCGTGAATGTTCGTGTGCGTGTGTGTGTGTGTGTGTGTCTGTGTGTGCGTGTGTGTATGTGTGTGTGCATGTGTGCTTGTGTGCGTGAATGTTCGTGTGCGTGTGTGTGTGTGAGTGTTTGTGCGTGTGTCTGCGAATGTGTGTGAGTGTGTGTGAGAATGTGTGTAGATGTGTGTGCGCGTGTGTGCACTTGTGTGTGAATGTGTGCGAAGGTGTGTGTATGTGTGTGGTGGAGGGGGTTAGGGTTGGCCGGCTTCGCCAGCCCTCCCACTGAGTGGTGCACATCCCTTGTGCCCCCCCGCTCGCCGTGGGCAGCCGCCCGCCCGCAGCGCCCTGCGGGAACTCACGATGTGACCTGCGCTCCGTGCTGCCCCTCGCCGCGGCGATGTCATTCGGCCAACGGGGCGAAAGTGTGTGTGTGTGTGTATGTTGGGCGGGTCCGGTATGGTATCTCCACGCCAGTCGTTGACAGCATAGTTGTCCGTTGGACTCCCAGGTCCCAAGCTGCTTCATGCGCCCTCCTACTTCATGGTTGTCGTGATCGTTGTCGTTGTCGCTGTTGAATATAATTAATTCTAAAGAATAATTATTGTTGGGCCCCCTGGTGCACGCCCCCCCCGCCGCGCCTCGGCCGCAGCCTCATTTTCATCATTTTCGTGAGGAAGTCTCAGGTAAAACGATGTGATCCAGATCCGGTTGTGTTGTTACGATCGGTTTTCCCTTGCAAAAAATAAGCTAAAGTGGACATTTCTTGTTCTAACATAACCAAACTTCAAGAATCCCTTGCAAAAAATAAGGTAAAGTGGACATTCGCGCGCGCAAAACGAAATCCTTCCAAAACCTTAGTTTTCGTAGCGATTTTAACATAAAAACATCAAAAAACCAATGGTTTTTCAAAAAAAAATGTCAAAATTTCATCCCGCGCGCTCTTGCGGATTCGTAGGAAACCCAACACTTTTTAAACATTTCTGTCAAACGGGCTTTTGCGAGCAACTTTTTCGAACTTCTGCAACAACGGTTGCGCACCTGCCAGGGCCATCATCCCTGTCAAATAATACCATGCGGGACACATTCGTTTTTTCTTCGCGCGCGCACGCCGTCGTCGTCGGCCGCGGGGCCCTGAATAGTAGCCACGGTCGTCCGCATGCCACGAAGTGAAGTGTCCGAACGTCATAGGGCGGGAAGCTGGGTGTGGGTGGTGGCGAAGAGTCGTTTGGAAATTTGGTAGAGCTTGAACCGGCCCCCCCACAAAGTGGGGGTATTGCCCGCCTCCTATGAAAACCCTGGCACTGGTGAGAACGGAGTGTCCCCACGTGCTAGTAATTGTTGTTGTTGTTGTCGTTGAATGAGCTGTTAAAAATAATGATTGTTGATCCCCCCTCTGGTGACCACTGTGTTTTTTCAATTGAAGTGCTTCCCCTGGGGCTTGCATTTTTTATCAGGGAAAGTCACCAGGTTCAAACTGCGCCCCTGGCCCCCAGATTACAACAACAGCAACGGCTCCCGACTGATACTTCCTCACAATTTAGCCAGAACCCCCGCTCCCGCCTGAGATTTCCTCACATTTTACTCAGGAATCGCGCTCTCGCTTTGGGCTTCCTTATAATTTATACAGGGATCGCTGTCTCGGCGCTCTGGAGTCGCGCTCTCGTTGGAGACTTCCTGGCAATTTATTCATGAATCGCGCTCTTGCGTTAGAATTCGCCGCAATTTATGCAAACGGCGCTCCCGACATTCAGGCACCCACGCTTCGGACTCCCTCACAGCTTATTTAGGAGTCGGCATCTCGCTTGCCCTTCGTGGCCCCGTTGCAGCCCTTCGTGCCCACGTCGCTGTCCTTCGTAGCGTGGACCCGTTGCAACCCTTCGTTGCCCCCTCGCTGCCCTTCGTGGCCCCCTCGCTGCCCTTCGTGGCCCCCATCGCTACCCATCGTGGCCCCGTTGCAGCCCTTCGTGGCCCCCTCGCTGCCCTTCGCGGCCCCATACGCATGCCCTTCGTGGCCCCCTTTCTGCCCTTCGAGGCCCTGTTGCAGCCCTTCGTGGCCACATCGCTGCCCTTCGTGGCCCCGTTGCAGCCCTTCGTGGCTACGTCGCTGCCCTTCGTGGCCCCGTTGCAGCACTTCGTGGCCCCCTCGCTACCCTTCAAGGCCCCGTTGCAGCCCTTCATGGCCCCCTCGCTGCCCTTCGTGGCCCCGTTGCAGCCCCTCGTGGCCACGTCGCTGCCCTTCGTGGCCGTGGCCCCCTCGCTGCCCTTCGTGGCCCCTTTGCAGCCCTTCGTGGCCCGTCGCTGCCCTTCGTGACCCCATATATGTATGCCCTTCGTTGCGCTTGCTTGTTCGCGCCCGTCGTGGCCCCATACGCATGCGCTTCGTGGCCCCGTTGTCGCCCTTCATGGCCCCCTCGCTGCCCTTCGTGGCCCCATTACTGCCCTCAGTTGCCCCGTCCTTGCCCTCTGCGCCCCAATATACGTATGCCCTTCGTGGCCCCCGGTCGTTCGCGCCCGTCGTGGCCCCCTGGCTGCCCTTCGTGGCCCCGTTGCAGCCCTTCGTGGCCCCGTCGCTGCCCTTCGTGACCCCCCATAATATATATATATATATAATATATATATATATATTATATATATATATATATATAATATGTAGGCCCTTCGTTGCGCTTGCTTGTTCGCGCCCGTCGTGGCCCCATACGCATGCGCTTCGTGGCCCCGTTGTCGCCCTTCATGGCCCCCTCGCTGCCCTTCGTGGCCCCATTGCTGCCCTCAGTTGCCCCGTCCTTGCCTTCTGCGGCCCAATATACGTATGCCCTTCGTGGCCCCTGGTCGTACGCGCCCGTCGTGGCCCCATATGCATGCCTTTCGTGGCCCCGCTGTCGCCCTTCATGGCCCCCTCGCTGTCCTACGTGGCCCCGTTGCTACCCTCAGTGGCCCCGTCGTTGCCCTCTGTGGCCCCGCATTATCTGCCCTTCGTGGCCCCCGGTCGTTCGCGCCCTTCGTGGCCCCATACGCATGCCCTTCGTGGCTCCGCTGTCGCCCTTGTGGCCCCCTTTCTCGCTTTCGCTCGTCGTCGTCGTCGTCGCCGTCGATGTCGTCGTCGTCGTCGTCGTCGTGGTCGGCCCCCTGTCCGTCCCTCGTGGGGTCGGGTTGCCGCCGACCAGCGCTGCCGCTGGCCGGGCCGACGGTCCGCGGCCGCCCCGCCGCTTGCCAGGGCCCGGCCTGCAGGGAAGAGAAATATACCCCCCAAAAGGGGTACGATCGAAGACGAAGAGGGCGGGTATCGAGGGTTTGGGAAATACGCGTTGAATGGCATACGAGCAGATAAGAGCAAACAGTCATAAACTGATTATTGGCATTGTTATTGTTCTTGTTGCTGTTGTTATTGACTGTTCATTTCAAAAGAAGAATTGTTGTTGATCCCCCCTCCCCGGTGAGCATGGTATTTTTTCACTAAGGTGTTTTTTCCTGGGGCTCGCACCCTGTTTTGTTTTTTCTTTTAAAAATAAAAAATACAAGGGGAAGTGAAGGGTCACCTAACTGTGCCCCTGGCCCACGGCTTACACAACAACAACAACAACAACAACAACAACAACAACAACAACAACACCAAACACAAAAAACAAAAACAAAAACAAAAACGGCTCCCGCCTGATCCTTCCCCGCAATGTATTCCAAAGCCGCGCTCTCGCGCGGGACTTCCTTACAATGTATGCAGAAATCGCACTCTCGCGTGGGACGTCTTCGCAGTTTATTCAGACGCCGCGCCCTCGACACTCAGGAATCGCGCTCTCGCTGCGGATTTCTTCACGATTTATTTGGGAATCGCGCTATCGCTCGAGATTTCCTCGCGATTCTTGCAGGACCCGCTTCAGCAGCCCGCCTGCTCGACCTGGCCGCCTGGGCCCGCCTTCCCGACCCGTCTGTTAGGGTCTACTCGCCCGATCTGCCCGTTTGGTTCTGCCACGTGTTTTCTTCTCCCAGCCCCCCTCCTATTAATTTCATCTCGATTATCTCTCGTGTTTCGTCATCCTTCCTCCTCTGACTCTTCTTTCCATCCGTCGTATCTTAAGGGCTGCACGGAATACACGCTGTAGGTAAGAAAGTGATACCTTCAATGGGGGCACGATCGCCGACGAAGAGGGGGGGCATCGAGGGTTTTGACATATACGTGTTGAGTGGCTGGCGGGCAGATGCGAGCGAGCAGTCTTAACATGATGGTTGTTGTTGTTGCTGTTGTTTGTGTTGTTGTCGATGTTGTTGTTGGTGGTGTTGACAATGTTGTTGTTGCTGCTGCTGTTGCTGTTGCTGGCAGCTGTTGTTGTTGTTGTTG